GTTTATGTCAGTTTCATTATTTTTTTTTGCAGTGAGATTCGTTACTCAGCAATCTGCTTGTCATTCACTCTTTAACGCTCTAGTGACAAAGATTCTCTGTGTGTAGGGATGGTGATGGATATCAGGACACGCGGGATAACTGCCCTGAAGTGCCCAACAGTTCTCAGCTGGACTCAGATAATGATGGCATCGGGGACGAGTGTGATGATGATGATGATAATGATGGAATTCCAGATATCCTTCCTCCCGGCCCAGATAACTGCAGACTTGTTCCCAACCCCAGTCAAAAAGATACTGATGGTCTGATTCTTAATTCTGAGTTTTGGAAAAGCATACTAGCATACTACTAAAAGTAATATATCTGACTTCTGGAGTTAATGATGTTTGACTGGAGTTTTTACACAAAATTTGATTAAAGCTGCAAAATAACAACTTTTTATTTCTGAGATGATATCTGGACCATACATAATGTGTGCTGTTTCGCAGACTTTTCATTAAAAAACTAGTATGCAGTAACCAGTATACTAGTATTATTTTCCAAAGACACCTTACATAATATGTATTGTTTTACTGATCCAATTTAGAAACGAACATGTTTGTTTCGTACCTTTTCTCACATCAGCCAATGGAGTTGGTGACATGTGTGAGACAGACTTTGACAATGATAAGGTGACTGACTTGTTGGATGCGTGCCCTGAAAGTGCAGAGGTCACTTTGACAGATTTCAGGGCATTCCAGATAGTCATTCTCGACCCAGAAGGAGATGCTCAGATCGACCCCAATTGGGTGGTACTAAATAAGGTGATCATTAAACACAAATGATCATTTACAGTATTTATAATTTTAGGCCTTTATTTTATCAGCTAGTCTCTGAGCTTTTACTATATTTTGTGCACATTGTAGACTAAGTCTGTGAAGAATTATAAAACAGCTTTGGTGTTTTTATAGGGAATGGAGATTGTGCAGACCATGAACAGCGACCCTGGTTTGGCTGTGGGTACGTATGTAAACATATTTTCATAGAGACTCCATAAAATCAAAATTGGCATTTGTGACTTTTACATTTCCTTCTCTTCCAACAGGCTGACAGACATCTCTGTGTCTCAACAGCTGTATTAACCTCTTTATTCTTTATATAGGCTACACGGCATTTAATGGTGTCGATTTTGAGGGAACAATCCATGTGAACACAGCCACTGATGATGATTACTTGGGCTTCATCTTTGGCTATCAGGACTCTTCAAGCTTCTATGTAGTGATGTGGAAACAGACAGAACAGACGTATTGGCAGAATTTACCTTTCAAAGCCTCAGCTCAGCCTGGAATACAGCTTAAGGTGAGAGTAACCTCAAAATACAAATTAAAATTAAGGCTGTCAATTGATTAAAATATGTAATTGAATTATGCTCATGATATGCAAGTTAATCTAAACTAAATGTGAATATCTGCTGAGAAAAACAAAGCAAGGGAAGTACATTATTGTGATAGATGAATAAAGCATTGAATAAAGGAAAGTAAAAAGTGTAGCACTTTTTAGGAATGTGGAGGAAAAAGAGTGGAAAATTGGATTGGGTCATAATAGATTTAAAATGTAATTTATTCCTGTGATCAAAGCTGAATTTTCAGCATCATTGCTCCAGTCTTCAGTGTCACATGATCCTTCAGAAATCATTTTAATATGCTGATTTGATCCTCAAGAAACATTTCTCATTAGTAGTTTCAATGTTGAAAACAATTGTGCGGTTTCATATTTATGTGAAAACCATGATACTTTTTTTCAGGATTCTTTGGTGCACAGAAAGTTTAAAATATAAAAAAAACGGTCACTTTTTATCAATTTATTCAGCATCCTTGTTGAATGAAAGTATTATTTCCCTTAAAAAAATAACTTGCTGACCGTAAACTTTTGAAAGTATAGTATATAAATGTAGTGTATACATGTAACTATTCATGTCTAAAGGTTTTGCTAACATCACCCAGCAAATTCTGTCTCACTCTTCCAGGCAGTGAAGTCTCGTACAGGTCCTGGTGAGTATCTGCGTAATGCCCTGTGGCACACAGGAGACACACCAGGGGAAGTTACTTTGCTCTGGAAGGACCCAAGAAATGTGGGCTGGAAGGACAGAACGTCCTATCGCTGGCACCTCACTCACCGCCCACAGGTGGGCTACATACGGTGAGAGCTAATCTGACTTTAAACTTTAAGAGATACACAAAACAAGTACAAATCTGTTACTACTAAATCTTGGAAAACGTTTTCTGACTGGATTCTCAATATCTATGGTGTAGATTAAGATTGTATGAAGGTACAGCCCTAGTGGCAGATTCAGGAGTCGTGATAGACACAACTATGAGAGGAGGGCGGCTGGGCGTCTTCTGCTTCTCTCAGGAGAACGTCATATGGTCTAATCTCGGCTATAGATGCAATGGT